ACATTTTCATTACTTACTGGTTTGATAGTGTAATCTAATACATTAAGAAAGTGCTCAGAAAGGCAAGGGAGTAGTCATGCTCCCTGTAAACAGAAAAATTAAGAAACACTAGATAGTATTATCTCAACTACAGAATATTTAAAACTATAGTGAAGTACAACTTACAGGAAAGCATGTGATTAGAAGCACATGCAAGAAAATAAAGTTCTGCCAGACACACTGTTCTTTTGTAATGTCATGAAAGTACATACCTAATGAAAAACACCTTGGAAATAAAAATCTTGGGAAATGTACCAGCTGACAACCAAAAGAGTGATTTGGTTTGGATTGCTGCGAGTTTTTTTCTCCTCTGAAAGCAAATCATCAGCAAGTCATTGTAATACCTTCTGGGAAATAACACCTATTACTTGTCAATCTACTTAGAGTAGAAAATCACCCTACTTTTTAAAGCTGCAAACTTATTTCTCGTAATGTTCACTATTATTACTTTCTTCTTTTCAAGGATTTAGGTTCACTCTTTCAAATGACCACATTTTGGAAGTTTTATAGGAAGACAGAAGAACATTCCTGTATTTCTGAAATAGGCCTTTAATATTGACAGGGAGACATCCTTGGATTATAGAGTTCTAATGAAGAAAATTGTAAATTGCCAAGGTAAAAGTTTCACATATTTAACTCTGCCTAAAGGACACATTTAAGTGATTCACTTTATGAAGCCTGGAAAGTAATGAAGATCCTGTCTACAAAAAAAAAAAGACTCTAGCAGTGGCTTTTCCTCATTCGTTGTTAAAAGAACACCTTTAATGTTCTCACTAATCCCAAATATGGCAGCAGGTATCCTTGGGAAGAGTCCAGATCTCAGAAAGCTATGCACCAACTGTATTAAATCCTGACTGCCCCAAAGCTTATTAAAAGCCAGTGCTTGTCCCACAGCAGCCCTCGAGCTGAGCTGCACACTAGAACACCTTCCCCACACTGCACTGGTGCCAGTCTGCAAATGTCCACAGTGACACAATCCCAGGTTTACTACGACACTGATATTATTGACTAGGCTAAGAGATATTATTAAAGGCTAAGAGACTGTTAATTCCTTTAGCAAGAGACAGGAGGAGAAGAATGGGAAGCAGAAGCCCAGCACTCTGTTTCCCACTTCCATACTTCACTTGCCAAGTGGCAATTCATCTGTTCAACATCCACTCACACCAAGCACAAAGAAACAGGCCAGAGAACGTAGTCTGAAGATTTAGGAACAAAAATAATTTTATACTACTGTCCCAGCTTCAGTACTACAAGATGTGTGAGGTTTTCTCTAGGTTTTTTTTGCTGGAGTTTTTTGGGGGTGATGGTGGTATGCTTTTAAGCACTGCTGCACTGTGGAGTATTTCAAAGAGCTTAGGTGCCAATTCCATTGTTAATGTAAATTGCAGACTAATCTTACTTGCTGTCACCACACAGAAGCTGTGCAGGGGTGCTCATCTCTTATGTGAGACTGGATCCTGACTGTGTAGACAGGACTACTACCAAAACATTAGACAGAGATGCACTAACAAATGTTAACAGGCATGGCTTAAAAGTTATTGTACCATGCAAAAGAACCTCTTTTTTGAGCCCGTTACTTGAAAAACCTTCCATGCGTGTTGTGAAGTGCATGCTGTCTTTGCCCTTGCTGTTGAAGTTGCAATTGATGAAAACAGATCTATGGCAAATCTTCTGCTTATGCTTATTTTTAGTGTGGAGTAAGAACTTTGAGTAAAGGAAGAAGCACAATGGTTGCATATTATAAAATGGAAAAAATACTCAGAAAAGAAGTCAGCAAAATGCAGTAGGTTACAAGCACGCTTGATAACTAAATTCAAAATATTATTAAAACTATAATTGATGCACTTTGTGGTAATTACATGAAGTGTTCTTATTTCCTTCCTGCTACAGTCAGAGCATGAATAAACAATCTGCCTTCAATTGCTCTCAGCCATGAAATTTAAAGAGGGTGAAGAATATGCAAGTCAAATAAGAAATTTTAAAAGGGCTGGCATTTAGTTGTTGAAAAATTTTAGTGGTATGTTTCAAAGACTTATGGAGAAGTTACTATTCAAATACAGTAGCATTCAAGGCAGTATTCAAAGGCAATACTATGCTACTAGATTGTTGATACCAGCCACATCTCCCTGCTCTGATGGAAATGGTGAATTGGCTTTCAGGTACCCAGTGGAAGAAAACCAGTCAAGTATTTAAGTTACTGCAAAGATTGGTACACATTTCCTTTGTAAAAGGCATACCATGACCACAAACCCCACAACAGACAATTGTCTTCCAACAGATTTTACTGTTTCATACAGAATTCAGTCACTTTACACAAACCTTGTATGAGTTGAGATTTCTTGATTTCAACACTGTGAAGACAAATTTCAGTCTAAGTTTGTCTAAGTTCAGTCTAAGCTGCTACATTTTACTGTCCCGCTTGTAGCAAGAAAGGAGTTGGTTTATGCCATATTTTGTTTCTGATTAGAGAAGTCAAAATCTAAAAAAAACTCCAAAAATTAGCTAGCTAAATGCTAACTCGACTCAGATGTCTTTAAAAATACACCAAAAACAAAGCCCCAACAGAAAACCAACCCAAACCCAGAAAACTGCACTTAGACAGAAGGTAATTATATAGATAATCCGTACCCATTAAAAATTTCCTTATCCAGTAAGAGAATAACAGATTTTTTTGCCAAGTACTATACTTTAGCCTCCTACCAGCCCCAAGCACCATCACTCTTATAATACAGTATATGACATGAAAGCAAGCATGTTACTTAAGCAGCTCTGTGGGTGTATCTAAACCCAGGAAAACATAAACATCTAGAAACTACAGCAATACCTATTGTTTAAAGGCACAGTAGGAAAAACATGGTAAATCTGTCCAGCCATCCAATCTGGAATTAAAATTGATGATTTAACACTGATATTCCTGAAGAATAATGTTACAAGTATCCTGGAATAGAAAATCACATCTAAGCATTAATGTCAGTTATGCTGCTTTGAACCAGAATGTTAGTGAAGTCCCAATTCTCAAGCTTAACCAACAGGTCCCTGTCTTTCCAAGACAAAACATTAGGAAGAATCCCTTCTCTTACTCAGGCTGTTTCCAGACCCTGATAAAAGAAAGCAAGCATTGGCAGGTGCAATTCTGTCTTTTGTTCTGCAGGAAACATGGGGCTTCTGAATTCAGCTCAAACTGGACAGTTCTGAAATACCAAGTCCAAAGGTTTCCCATGGACAAGGTGGCACAGGCAGCCACTGCACAGCTCTTACAGGATTCTCACCAACACAGCTTGACAAGGTTCCGGTGGGAAGACCTCTCAGTCTCTGCCTCAAGCTTTTGATCTCTTCCTCAGATTATCAAAAGATAGCCAATTGTGATGGTGGATTTTCTGCTGGAAGGAAACTTCATGCTGGACTGAGACCACCAACTCATTTCACAGGAAATAAGATGGCAGTAGTTTTTTTTGTAGTTGCCAACTTAAACTGTATCTGAGCTACAGCCCTAGATGTGAAAGGCTCTGTAATAAATTACCAATCTCCTGAGCCATCCAGTTAACAACACGCCAGGTTTTCTTTTAAGCATTATTTCACGTTCATAAATTTTCCGAAACTGTAGAAAGTGAAACATCAGAAAAATTTAGATTTTTGATGACAAATCATTTGCTTTCTGTATGCCTCTTAAAAATATAATAGTTATCTAAGTAGTAACATGCACTCTGTATTTCTATATTGTGTTTTGCTCCACTACTTCATGAGTCATGACAAAGCCACTAGAATCTTTCTGATTCTTTCCCCTCAGTGCTGAGGCTTTTGTTCCATTTCTAAAACCAGAAGCAAATTAAAACCATCCACACAATCACTGCAATAAAGCAAAGTTTCCTTGTATTTCAGTTCTGAAAATGCTATTTATCAGAGATATACCTTTCACCTTCTGTTCAAATGGAGAAACTGGCATTCTGTAAAAGCATTTATCAGGCATGAAAATAGATGTCAAAAAACTAGTCCTTGACCACATTTTCAGGAACACTATTAAAGCTATTTCAAAGACAAAAATTGACTCAGGAGGACTAGTAAGGAATCCAGACTTATTTCACCAAACACAGAATATCACTGGCAATACTGACTCATAGGAATGAAAGGTTAAACTAATGGTACTTCTAATTACTGAAATTTCATTCATGCATAAGAGTACCATATATAGGTGGTACACTTAGAAGTAAATTTAAAAAAAAAGAATGCTATCAAAGAGTAAGAGCTACAGACAAGTGGATCAGAGGAATTACCCAATTTCAAGACAAGAGACAAAAAAGACCAGTTAGCTGTGGGCCTGTTTTGAAGGCAAATTTATAAGAATTGGTTGGATTCACCATTTGAAAAGAATTTGTTGGTTAAAGACACTAACTCAGGTTAAAAATGTTTTCCTTATATTGTAGTTTGGATAAACATTAGTTTACTTACAGAAATCATCTAAAGTTGGCGTGGCTATATTGCTGGTAGATTATAAACATTAGGAGAAAATAATGGCTTTCAAAAGTCCCCTTCCTACATTAAACTGATAATTTCAGAAAAAAATATTTTTTTCATCAGTTCTTACAGCCAATCATACTCCCCCACCTACACCAAAGCTGTATTTAGTTATTTATCTTGCCTATAGTGATACTACTAGAGGCATTTTCTGTACCTCAACGTGCCTGTTATTTAAATAACCCATTTAAAATAGTTTATTTAGAAAATAAAAAAAAAACATAAACAGCCATCTGATTCACTTGCTCTCATAAGCATATCAGATCACAGCCAGCTTTTAAAATCCACTCTACTAATCAAGGCCGTCTGACTGCAGTGTAAAAATATATATTTATTAGTACATGCTCTTAGCACCAAGGCTTTTGTTTCACAGTGGTTTTTCATTAAGAAAAACAACCCTTGCCCTCAATCATCATCCCAGTGCTAAAACCCATTGAGGATCCACTTACCAAATCCCTGTGTAACACCCAGTTAGCATGCAGGTAGTGAATACCATCTAGGATCTGATATAACAGCGACTTCACCATTCCCCGAGGTAACTGAACTGGTTTCTTGTTTGCTTTAGAAGCCCTGTGAAACTTGATTATATGCTGCAAAGGGGAAAAAAATGAAAATAAAAGAAGTGCAATGTTTACACAAAAAGATTACCATCAACTCCTTACACAGACTTCTTAGGGTTTTTTCAACCTTTTGTAAAAACATGTGCCTTATGTACTAAAAAATTAATACTGTACTAAGTAAAGTGTCCCAAAGCAATCTCTCAAAAATTAAATCAGTTTTTGCTGTGGTTTAACCCCAGAAGGCAGCTAAGCCCTGCAGAGTATGAGGAATACAAAACCAATATGACCAACAAAGCACATTTCCTTTTAGATCACTATCTTTCCAGTTTTAGAGGTATTTTTGTTTGGGGAGTCTTTTTATTAAGATAGGCTGATATCCTGTACATCAAATCACAGAATTACAGGTGTATTACCTCCTACATTATTTTACTTCTAAGTTTTCTCCTACAGTAATAATGACTGCAACATTCAAGACCTAATGCCAAGCAGAAATTTTTGCAAAACGTATTAGGAATTTTACACATTTAAATCAGAAGCCCAGATTTATTCCTTCTTTATTTACTATACCCTTATAGCACAGTACTCTCAAAACAGAAGCTGTTAACAGAGCAAGTCTACAAATCTGTCCATCTGAAAGTCAGCCACCAAGTCTGATACAGAAAAAGAACCTTTAGCAATTCTAAATTTAGACACAAGCAGTGATGTCTGGCACTGAGGAGGAGCCCAAAAGGATGTGTTGTCTTAGCACTTGAGCCCCAGGCGTCACTAACTTCAACAGCAAGGTGTGCCATAGTCACGGTAACCATTTCCATCTTTGCCTCCTTCAAACACAGAGGCAATTTGCAGAAGAAACTTCTTAACATATTCACACTTTTTTTTTCTGTAATGGCTGGCACTTGTGTGATCATCAAAAACAGCCCAGATCTTGTCTACCAAAACCTGGCACCAAACCTCTGTTGTGTGCTCTTACTATGTTCATGACCCCCCATATTCCAGGTGCCAATTAGGTAACTCAGCTATCTAACACCCTTTGGGAAACTGCCTTTCTTCTCCTGCTGCAGCCCAGCTCCATACAGCCTGCCCTCCTTTGCTTCAGGCAGCCAGGCTTACAGAAATGTGCCTGTTCCTGTGAGGAACAGGCACATTTCTGCCCTGTCAATGGCAAAAATGGAGATGCACAGAGCAAAAAAACATTGATGAAAATGGGACAGTCCCTGCACTGTCAGCCAAGCACCACATGCAGAAGCATCCCTCACAGCCTGAGCCAGATTTACCTCCTCTCACCTCTCACTTCCACCAACTCCAAAACAAATGTTATTCTCACACAGTGGACAGAGAGAAGTGACTCTTCAGAGACAGGTGACAAAACAGATTGTTGTCCCAGAATTCTTTTGCTCCTGCTCTAATACACTCTGTATTATCTAGCCCTTTCCCAGCATAAATTAAAACGTGCTGTCCTAAACACACAAGTGCTGGAACACTTGATCCATGGCCAGCTCTCTGGGGCACAGAGCCAGCCCAGTCACTGCAACCAAGCCTCTCACATCCGGATACAGTGCACAACCAGGAATTGGTGCAGCTGGAGAATTCTGGAGTTCATAAAGGTATATGCATGTAAGCATAGAAATCAAAATTGAGGATCATTCCTAAGTTAGTTACATACAAATCAGTGTTTCATTAACAGAAAGACTTCTATGGTGATTTAGGTTAAGTATGAAGCAAAGCAGAAGTGTATAAATACAGACAAGAACAGGTTTTAGTAATAATACCCCTAACAAATATGAAGCCTTGTAGCACATTTTGAAACAAAAAAACCCTCAATGTTCCTAGAACTCTGTAGCTTAGCATATCATAAATATGGGGGAGTAGTTGAAAAAAGAGTGCTCTTATTCTTCCATCATGTTAAAATAAAAACAAAACTAACCAACTGTACTCCATTTCCCCAAGATGTTGTTGTTTCTGTTTATCAGCCTTAAGAACGTCTCAACATTTCAGCTGTTTGCTAACTTTTTTGTCTCTGATCTTATTTTGGTAACAAAACCTCAATACCAAGTATCATAACTTCCAAGACATTTAACTGTAAGAAAGCATCTTTCATTTAGCTTAGCAGAAAGAAAACTTACACACTAGTTCTTAGGCAAACCAGATAATTCCAAACTATAAGGAAAACTGTTTTTAAAAGAAATCAGTTTTACTTTGGTTTGTGCTAAGTGAAATGCTCACAAAAAAAACAACTCATGATTCATACTGTGGAATTGTCACATGTACACACATTCATAAAAATTCACCCTTGTTACAAATTGTTTCTGTTGCACCCTTTGATACGAATCTTAGCATCTTTTGAGGTTAGCATGCGTAGCATTGACAGCAGTGCTCCTAATGTATGTCAGCGTTAATTTGAGGCACACACACCTTTTTTCAGGGAAGTCAAGGCTGCATGGTGTTTTTCATTTTTTACCATGCTACTTTATTTTTTTTAAGTATTCCAAATGGATGTTAAGCTCACAAATATTGAGTTAACACAGGAATTCAGTACAGATCTTTAAAAAAATTTACTTTGCCTCCAACAGGTTTATATTTTAAAGCTGTATCTTGCAATTAGGAAAAAATAGCTTTCCTCCCAAATACATGGAATTCCTGCAGATGAGTTGAGAAAAACTCTTCCCAATGAAATGAATGAATTAAATATAGTGTCACTGCTCTCACTTAATGTATTCAAAGATGACAATTAATGCAACTGAAACTCTGACCCATCCTATTCAGAAAAAAAAGTTTGTCATTTTTCAAAGGGAATTCACCTGCATAATCAATACATTTTCCTGCACCCTACTTTTGCTGTAATAGGGGTTTATATCTACATTTATTTAAGCAGACTTCTAGCTATTGAGAGCTGATTTCTGCAGATTTTTTGCATTTTTTTATCTTCTTAAAGAGATCACAGGTTAACTGTGTGGTGTGTTTTCTTAACATTTTCCATTGCTTTTCCTTTAGTATTGAAAATGCTTCCAACAAACACGGAGTAAGCAGCTATGCTGTGCTTAAAAATTGTATGTCTCCCCTGACCCTGTCCCTCCGCTGCAACTAAAACTCTAAGCTTGGTACCTACAAACAATTCACCTTACCCAGAGGTCATGCTCAGCGTAGTCAAAGAGAAGCCACACTTTTCTGTCAGCATGAGAAAGGAACACCTTTTGCAGAGAAATGACATTTGGATGCTTGAGCTCCCGCAGCAACTGCAAAAAAAAAAGTCCACAACAGTTATAGCCATACATCCAGAGCTGGGATACTTAGAACACAAACAACAGAAGCTGAAATCTGCAAGCCACAGAAAATAACTTTTTTTCAAAGAACTAGTCATTAGTTTTAAACCAAAGCTGAAAGCAGGTCATAACCCCCTCAGGGCATTCACTTCCTACTCATTTTCTAAAAGCTCAACTCTCTGTAAACCTCATTATTATCCAGGACCAAGATGACTCTGCAAACAGCCAGCTGTGGCATCTGCCCTTTTGCATAGGCTGTAATCTTCAACAGTCCTATTTGGGGCACCCCATTTTCTCCTCACTCCCAATTACCTGAAAAGGCTGCGTTTTCAGTGCAGTCATTTGAATGGGATGGCTGACGTAGAGCCTGTTAATGCAGTCAGCTAAACCAAGATGTGGTTTGTAAGGTGGACTCTGCTGATGTACAAGGTCAGTGCTCTCTACAGAAGAGGGTCCAGCTTCTTGCCACAACACAGACTACACCAGTTAGTACATTCACAGAAGCCACCCATAAAACAGCACCCAGTTCAAGAGAAAACTTCTGGATGCACAAAGGCTGGTGAAAGGCAACCTGGTATGGAGCTCTTGAGCTAAAACAAATCAGGGTACTAACAGCAGAGACAGCCCAGCAAAGGGACATACCTGAATCTTCTTTCAGCAGTAGTGAGCCATTGAACCAGCTCAGCTGCTTCAGAAACTACATTTGAAACCCACCAAAAGGAAAATACAGATGAGATACAGCACAACAACTGAAAGCAGACAGCATCACTTTATTTGAGGTCTACTGCTCACTGTACTCATTCAATTGCTAAGAAAGAAAAAAGCTTCATCTAAGCAAACTGTGGTTAAGTGTAACTACCTAAGACTAGTCAAATTCCTGCCAGTTCAGTGTGCCAAAAAATGTTTTCTTACTAAAAGGAATGGTTAGGGCTTTTTATTAAAAAAAAAAAAAGCCAACAGAAAATGAAACTACTCTTTGAATATAGAATTTACTTCTGAGACAATATATTTTCAATAAAATATAATTTTTCCACTACATAAAAAAAATTTATTCCCTTCTATTTATGCCTCTGTCATAAGTGCTAAAATTTTAGCCGCTATTGAGATAGTAAAGTGGAAGTATATATGCGTGTGCTTGTTTCCTTCTTTCCTATTTGAGACAGACTTGCATTATGACTCACTGACCAGTCTTCTGTGCGCCATTTCTTGGAAAAAAGGACCTAAAACCCACAGAAATTTTACCTTAAGTACAAGATCAAATAGGGAGATAGTGTAGAGGAGACAAAGCAGAAATAGAAATCAATGCAGAAGGCTGTAGAGTTTCAGCATGGTAAAACTCCAAGATTTATAAAAGCACTACATCAAGGCACTTGAAGGAAGGATCCACAAGGAGCATGGAATTCTTTAAATGCCTGTAATTCCTAGAAAGAATAAGATCAGTATGGGAAAAACCAAGAAATGCTTATTTGCACTTTTTTATCAATTACAGATGGGGATCGCCTGTGGTAATTTAACCCCAGCCAGAAGCTAAACCCCACAGAGCCACTTGCTCACCTCTCTGTCAGACATGAATGGAAGAACAAAAATGCAAGAAAATGTGTAAGACAGTTTAGTAAGTGAAAGAAAGAGGAATTAAACACGACACCCACAACAAAAAAACAACAGAAGCAATGCAAAGGTAATCACATATGACTTCCCACAAGAGAACTGGTGCCCAGCCAGTCTCCAAGCAAAGGCTACCCCTCCAAAGGGAGGAGGGGCAGGGATGGGACAGAGAGAAAGCCACTGTACACTGTAAGCAATAGCCAAAGTACTGCTGACTTATCAACACTGCTTTAGTCACAAATTCAACACACTCCACCATACAAGGTGATGTGGAGAAGATTAACTGCATGCCAGATAGGCACAGCATCAAAGACCACCTCTCAATGGTGAACAATGCTGCAGGGTTTAAGAACACACTGTGCCAGACCATATAACTAAGTAATTTTTCTTTAATCAGCATAAATCCACATATTAAATTTATGCTAAAATGTTTAATGAACTGTACCAGAAGATTACATGGCAGTTCAACTGCGTCCATACCAAAATTTCCTGTGTATTTCCTGTGACCTAATGGACACATCTGCACCCGGTACAACAAAATATTCCTTGATGAAAGATGCAGATATTAGAGCTCTAAAAAACAATGGAATGTTCCCTTTTGTCTGATCCCATTTTAAGTCTCTCCTACTCCTTATTCCTGAGGTAGCAGCTATCACCTACCTAAAAAATCCAACCTTTTCACATGAAATATGATTCAGCTTGGAGAACACACAGAAAACCTATCACCAAAGCTGGACACAAACATGAGAAACATTTAACTAATGCAGCAGAAAGATTCTCTGTCTGTGTAGTGAGGCAACATAGAATTCTCCCTTGTTTGTTCTAAGGAAGTCTTTGCAGACTTTGAGATTGACAGAATTTCTTGCTTTTTTCCTCCCCACTCCACCTTGATCATTCCCCCTTCCTGCCTTTTATTTTTCCTCTACACATCCCAGCAGCATCCCTCTCAAATACCCAAAACCCCCATTTATCCTCCTAAAAATCCCATAGCAACCTGCTTTCCTTCTCATCAGTCCCAGTTGACACTCTTCAAGAACACACCTGAGAAGTTCCTTCTGCAGCCCATCACCATTGTGTTAGGATTTCTAGCCTTTGCAACTGTCACTGACAGCACCTCTTACTGTTTGTGCATCTGTGCACTCAGTTTATTATTCTTGCTGGTTTCTGCCTTTGCCTTTTGTGTTGAGTAACTGTTAAAGCCACATTCTTTCCGTTTGCTTAAAAAATCTGATGGGTTCCATCAAAGCCAGACAGCCACAAGCAACCCAGTGAATAGGGAGGCTAACATACATCTGCAAACCAGCAGCATAAGGAAACAATTGCGGCAGTGGGACAGATGATTCCTGAATCACTGTCTTGGAAAGGTCGAAACACTCATAGTGACAAATGCAAACATTGTCTCTGAAGTATCTGAAAGAGCTCATGGAGATGATAATACATCACATGGGCTGCAAAAAGCATTTTCAGCAACCTCAGCCTCCAGGAACCAAGCTTCTCCAGCCCATAAACCACATGCCTTTCCTACCAGATGACTTGACTTGTGTCCAGCAGCTGACATAGTTCAAACAAAGACAGTTCAGACAAAGTAGACTGCAAGAAGCATGCTCTATCACTTTGATGCCTGCTAATGATAAAGGGTATTTTTTGGCCTAATGACTTTCCTATCTAACTGCTTCTGTCTATCCTAACTCAGTTCTGTAGAACACAAAGAGAAATCAGACAAAAATTATGTTTTTGGCTCTCAGTAAATTGCCTTTTCATTTGCATATCACATGATGATTCAAGTCTATTTCCTCAACCAGAAAGATTTCTCTTATATTAGTTAGTCTGAGTACCCCCTCATAAAGAAGGGAGACTCAACAGACCTTCAAAGAAATAGAAATCAGCAAATGACAAATATGCCAATGCATCTGTTTTAGAAGCCCGTGTTTGTCCCTGGCTGGTCCTGCCCTTGTTTTCTTAATGTTCAAGATCCAGCAAGGGAAACAGCATCCCTTTGTGCAGGTCTTGGGCTCACACTAAAGTCCCTCCACCTCCCTCTTGAAATGTAGAAACACTCATTCCACACAGCCACAGGGCAGCTGAGGGACAGTAAACCAAAGTGTCCCAATGATGCATAAAATTGTTTAATTGCTTCAGGAACAAGGAGAAAGTGAAGTAAAACAGGATGTTATTAAGTAATCAACAGACGCAGTAAGGAAACCAGGAAAACTGCAGCATGACTAAGACCAATCTTTTCTTGTACTAACAACAATTCTGTTTCACATAAAATATGAAGTCAGCACAATTTTTATGAACATGACCTGCTTCTTCTGGTGATATTCCTAAAATTCCTGTGAAGCTCTCCACAACTACAACAATTCTAAAAAGCCAAGACTCTTCACATAAACGAGGATTTCTAGCTCTGCTGCAAATGGCATTTCATTCCTGCTCTGGACACTGGTTAACATTCGTGGTCCACAGGGAATGTTAACCTGCAAAATGCAGTCTTGCAATACTACCATGCTTACTTCTATAATTCAAGTGGCACAGGGGATGTTAAAATCAGTTACCAGGAAAAATTATTTCACCAAACTGTTTGGCAAGGACTGGAAGAGGATGCCCAGGAAAGTGGTTGCATTGCCATCCCTGGAGGTATTTAAAAGACATGCAGATGGGTGGTTGCTGAGGGGCACAGTTTTGTGCTGGACTTGGCAGTGCTGGGTTAATAGCTGGACTTGATAATGCAGGTCCTTCCAAACATAAATTATTCCAAAATCCTGTAACAGAGCACAATTGCTAGAGCAATTTGCCAGGTAACCTGGCCCAGGAGTCTCCCCTATGTCAGGACATGAGCTATTTTAGAAAAAGCAGCTTCTTGCTCTGACTGCCTTCACTGAGTGCCATGCAGCACTTCTCCCAAGCCCTAGGACAGTCAGAAAACTGGCTGCACACCAAGCCATTGGCACTATCAACCAAACACTCATTTAAACAAAATTCACTATTACATTTCATGGCTAGTTTGATGGCATAAATTCCAACTCTAATCATCATCTCATGCTTCAAAAAGGCTCACATTAGTTTCACCAAGGGATCCAAAACCAAACATCATACATTAACAGTCATGCCATGGCCTTGCAACGCAAAAACGGGCAAGCAGGGCCTTGGAACACAAAGCAGATTGCAGCTGATGCAGAAAGGCAACTTTCAGACTTTCAGGAGGAGAATGACAAATTTTACTCATCCTGTAACAAGTAAGATGCCAGTGGAATTACTGCTACAACAGATGAGTAGCAACAATAAGACATTACCTGAAACATTATGTGTAATTCTGACCCATTCAGGGGAGATTAATTCCAACTGCAACAGGGCAAAGAAAGCATAAGCCT